AACAAACGAAGACAATCTTTTCGATGCATTTCTAGACGCAACAAATGCGTTTGCCAGACAATTTTCAATATCTAGCGTGAAAACAAGAAGGACATTGTCGGACAAGGAAAATTTGAGTTGCATGAATCGATAGTATCTCATAATCATTTGTATGACTGTTTCTGGTTGAGACCATGTCTATTAGAGTTTAGATGATTTTTCCAACAAAGACATCAATTTCTGCGCTGTTTTGTCGATATCGACCGATAATTTAATAGTCCTGCTAATGTTAGAAAATTGAATTAAAAGACCAGAATTTGACTGATTTCATGGTTTGATAAAATGAATATATTAGAACTTAGATATCTTGCGACGAATCTGAATGTTGATTGAAGTCGGACACATATGAAATTTCGGCTTGATGAACGGATCGAACAGAATATTTTGATAAAATCCATGTTTCACAAAAACTGAGTTCTAAGTAATAGGCGTGCTGCATGAAAAAACTATCTTAAGACGGCTGAACGTATTGAGCTGTCCTCTGGTTTTTAAGGATTTCTCGATGTGCTCTTTCTTTTGTCTAGCAGACACTTTTGTCCATAAATGCTCGGAAGTAGGTTTTCTAGAAAACCGTGGTTTTGGAACCAACGATCACGAAAGTCCTTTTGTTTTAACAGTCTATAATGATAGAGTAATCAATTCTCTATAAAAATGAGATGTCTCCGAGCTCTCTACGACTTTTTTTTGGCCGAATTACATCAATTTTAGTGAAGGACAAAAGCCATTATTTTGTGGGTGTGGGTGTGGGTATTCATGTGATAAGCATCCACACCCAAAGGACACACGCTTTTCTTTCCAAGAATGATATTGGATTATTTCGAATGTGTTCATTATTTCGAAGAACCCATTCTTAGATATTTATCTAGAAAACATGAAAATGATTACCTTTGCATAGAATTCTATTCCAACGATGCAAAAAAAGAATGAAAGGAGAACCATTCGAATAGATAATGAAACAGTTCAGAAAGTGTTCTATTCCGGAAAAGAACGATTGCGGACTGAAAAAGACAGCATTCCATGACAGCGTGAAATGGCAAAGAATGCTTTTCTTCAGATACAGAACGTATTCTTCTCGGTTTACAACATATTCGCTAAACTATAGGACGCATTCATCGTAGAAAAGAAACCTTTTCATGTTTCGATAAATGCACTTTCTTTCGTTTTTTTTTATAAGCATTTTTTCCTGAGAAGTCATCATGGAATGAAATCGTTAGTTGTTAGATATTGTGTGCATAGATCTGACTAAACTATGATATTCTCGTTTCTGGTTTTACTTTAAAAAAATAATTGTGAGATTAAAAAAATCAAACGTTAATTCATCCAAAACAATATACATCTAACAGAGATAAACAAACAACATAAAAATTCAATAGTGATAATAGAAGTACAATTAGCTATAGCATACTGATTCTAGAGATAAATGTACTTTGACATACACAGTATATTTATTGAACAAATATTTTATAGGAAAATGCGTTCAGTTTTTGTATGTATGATTCTTAAGTTCTTTATAGGTGAAATTGAATCGTTCTGTAGAAAAATACGATAATTTTCTTCCAGATGACTTTATCGCTATCATTGATTTCTTATTTTTCTCCTTAGCAGTTGGAATTCATCCAAAAGAAAATTGGAATTCATATATAGGGAAAGATATGCGCATTTCTGGATAAAAAATTTGCTTAAAAAAATATGTTGTGCATGCCAAAGTGAATGTATTTGCACAAACAGTAGGCGATAGAGGAAAATAAATGGTTGATTGATGGAAATGGAATTATCCAAAAAAAAACAACGCGTGTACTAGATGTCGTCCTTCTACAGACAGAAAAATGCATTTAAACAAATTTTCTTCATGCTTAACAATTATCAAAATATCTATACTTGGCATTACTTTGTATGTGAATGTCGGTTAGGGTCTTCACCTTAATCACATCCATATCTATACTCACGCGAGGAATGACCGTGATTTATTGCTTTATTGAGGATTTATCAATTATAATGGTATTTGACATCACCCACGCCCACACCCTTCTATTCACTCTTGTTGTCTGGATGTGGTTTTTTAGGTAGCCAAATTTTTGAACACTGCTCTTCTCTTTCATATACATTATTCTCCTAGTAGCCTTCGCCAACATCAATTTTTTCGTTTGTATTCGCCGTTTTCGTTCACGACTATTGGTAAGACTTGAATTGTACTTCAAAAATGTTACATGGATTCAGGTGGTTGTAAACAGAATAAAAGGTCATTAATTACAATTGATTATGAGAGCATAGCAAAGTAATGACATAAACATGCAACAATTATAATCAACGATTATCTTGCGCTTTCTTTATATGGTTTATACTCTCTCATTTGGTATATATTATAATTGATTATTACTATGTCTGTCACATCAGTGGATAAATGTTGGTACTCATCTCAATATTCTTTCTTTCACAAATTTGCATTCTTTGTGATGAAACAAATAAGAGATCATGAAACAGTTGTCTTGTTGTTCAATTTCTTGTCATCATATTTAGCTAGTTAAGAGAAATAAATCTAGGACAGCTTGATAACATGACATATTGATAGAGACCGATGTCTTATAAGTATGAATGTTTTGTAATAGATGGGTTGAATAGAATAGGACAAAAAAGGCGAACACAATAACCATCATAGTAAAATCAACCTCGACGTTGGTTTCGCTATATAATGTACGTCGCTGTATTATCCCATGATATGCAGATGTAAATGGAAGTTTTCTCTTAATCCATCCACATCCTCAAGCTCTAGACCAGTGCTCTGTAAAGTGAGAAGCGACGGTCTACTTATGATTCAAATTTAGAGATAGAACTTTTTGGGCTAGTTGGAAATGTGAGATTGAGCTATCTAATTAATGAATAGGAACACCCTTTGACTTTCGATAATACAGCATGCAAAAAATGGTTATCTGTCACTTTTTTATGTGTTCTCCTTCAAAAATTATATGATATATCTCAACGTGCACTTCTCACAAGACCTTTCATTCGATTCTGCACTGCAAATTTACTGGCTCAGTGTTCTAGACAAGTTTTAACAGAACTTCCATGAGCTCATCGAGTATCATTAATAAGATCTCAACATGAACGCTCAATATAGACTCAACAAACAAATGACTTAGATATAAGTTTTTTCTTTTTTTTTTGTAAGCGATTATCTCTTATATGAACCAATCAATCAAAGGTTCGTTCTAGTATAGCTACTGTAGCGCTATATATTGAGTTGTAACATAAGTTCTGAGAATTTTTTTGTTTTTTTAGACAAATTTGAGGCTTTCTATCTTGTGACTGAAAAGAGATGGGGGTCTGAAATTTTTAACGTAGATAGAACGCATAGAGATCTATCTATACTGAAAATTTTAGATCCATATCTCTCTCTAGTCACGAGATAGAAAGCCTCAAATTTGCCTAAAAAAACAAAAAAATTCTTAGAACTTATGTTACAACCCAATAATAAACAAAGAAGTCACTGTCAATCGCATATGACTGAAATAATTCGATTCCACACCCACACCCTCATTCTTTAGAAATATTTTCATAAACAATGATTTGAAGAGAAAAATTTTATTTTCAATTAATTTTAACTTATCTTGATAAAATTTTGATTATTATTAAATAATTGTTTGTTTCAATTGATTAAAATCAAAACAATGAATGTCAATTTATTGAAAATATTTTATTAACATTTAATTACTTTAAAAAAAAATCAATTAAACAATCAATTCTCATTTTCTTTGAATAAATTCATAATTGAGTCAATTATTATTTCGAATTTATGGAATATGAAAAAAAAGATCTTGATAATGTTCTGTTAGATTTCATAGTGGAAATACTTTAGTTATATATATATATATATAGGAAAGAAATATACCATTAGTGTTATAATGTCACATATTTCATCAAGAAAAAAAAACTAAATATTGGATTATTTTGATCGTTTTTCAATTCGTATGTAAATAGCTTCTGGCGATAAAGTTACAGTTTCTTGTCTTTTCATTCCTTGTTCAAGTTTCTCACCAGGTAAAATTGTATATCTATGTAATATATTTGCTAAAGTAATTTTTAATGTCATTAATGCAAATTTCATTCCAACACAATTCCTTGGCCCAACACCAAATGGCATATAAGCCAATGGATGTCGTTTTATCATATGACGTTCAGGAACAAATTCGTTCGGGTCGTCAGGTCCCCATAAATCAATATTACGATGAATTGAATATGCATCCGCTTGGATAATACTACCTATTCAATGAAAATTCTATTATAAATAAAATAAATAGATTTAACTTTGAACGAACAAATCAAAGTTTATTTTTAAGAATAACATAAATTTCGCTCTATTGACTTTTGCTATGAAAGCGAAAGCTTGCTGCAAAAGTCAGTAAGACGAATTTTCTATTTCCTATGTTTAACCTTTTTCAATGTAATGTCCACAAACAATTGTTGATTGAGAACATTCTCGACTAAAAACTCTATGTGTAATAGCATGTAGTCGAAGAACTTCTCGTATAAACATATCCAAATATTTCATATTATTAATTATTTCATAATCAATTTCTTCTTCATCTTTCCAATATTCATCAATTTCTGCTTGTAATTTAGTTTGAATATTTGGATGTATAGCTAATTCATATGTTGAATAAGCAAGATTAAGTGATGTTGTTTCATAACCAGCATTTAAAAACAATGCTGCATTCGTTGATACTTCTTTATATTGAAGTTTTTTTGATATTGATTCATTATTTTCATGATCCTAAATGAAATTTATTTATATTTTTTTATTTAAATTATCGTTCTATTAAATAAATAAAACTTCAAAATATATAGTTTATTTGACATAATTGATAGAAGAAATCTAATAACTAACTTTAATTTCTTGTTGTGTAGATGCATCTAACATTAATTGAAGTAAATCTATTCGTTTATTTTGGGTTGTTAATCTTTGTTTAACAACATTTTCAATTTGTTGAACAATCCATAATTGAGGAGGACCTTCAATATTATGCATCATTGATGGCATTAATGAATGTAGAAAGTTTATTAATGTAATAGAACTAGTCATAATTTTAATTAATAATGGAATAAGAAATGGCATTAAATTAGCTAATCTCACAAAGAACATTTGTTCTGGATCACGAGAAAAACAGGCTAGTGATTTTTTCATATACATGTTATCATTATCATTTTGTAGATCCGTATCAATGCCAAATGCACAATGCCCTACAATTAATATACACTTTTTTTTGATAATCGTGACCAGCGTATTAAAAACAAGAGAAAACAGTGTCTTCATGTGACCTTTGATATAAACGATGAGAGCCACGTGCTCAAATGTTACACAGGTTTACATTGTTAAAATAAAACAATAAAGCTTTTTCAATATTTTTTGTTCCTCTACATATTACTTAAGAGACAAAGTATAGTATCATGATAAATATTTATCCACAGGAAATCTCATTTACATCTAATTGTAAGAAAATCTTTGATATCAATCATAGTTTTAGTTGACTATGTCATTTTGACTCTTTGTAAAATGAAATTGAGCATTTTTATTTTCAATCTAAGAAAATACCTGCATTACACAATTTTGTCATACTATATAAAGCTCTTCCTAATCGAGAAAGCAACAGCGGACGACAATACTTCAAATTTTCAAAAAAACTTCGATAGATATTAAGAACTATGACTCCACAAATTCAAAGAATTCGTGAGACTTCACGAAATTTCATGACACATCAAGACCAAAGTTTCTATTATTTCGTCATCGCTCTTCATCTATTAATTTATCGATGATTTCTTTAAAAATAATTCTTTTCAGTAAAACAAATAATTCAAAAAGCATTAGAATATATTGTGACTTGATATAGTTGAAGTTCTATAGATGAATTTCATTTTTAGTCCGTTAAGATGGAAGCAGCGAGCTTCCAGAGACTTCAATAGAAATTTAACACTATGACTCTAAGAGTTCAAAAGACTTCACGGAATGTCAAAATATTCCAAAAGACTTTGTAAAATTTCAAGCGTCATTTATCTACTGTTTCTCCTTTGCTGGTATGCGTGTATTATTTAGAACAAAAGAATCATAGACAAGATAGATGGTAGCATAAATGATAATTGTTTACTTACAAATAACATCCATAGTCAACCGTTTGTATAAGGCAAAAATATTAAATTCATTATTATTATTTTCATCTATTTTTTTCGTCATTGATGTTATACATTGATTCACAAGTGGTGTCATCATTTTCAATTTACCAGTTGTAAATGTTGGATTAATAACATATCGTTGACGTCGCCATTGATTAGCACGTGCAGAAAATAGATTAGCTACATTACTTTTAAGCATTCGAAGAAGAATGTTTTGAGGACGTGAATGAAACACCGAAAATTGTTTGATGAATACTTCTTGTAAGAAATCAACATTTGATACAACATATATCGGGTGTGTTCCTTGAAAAATTCCATAAATAGGACCATATTGATGAGTCCATTTTTGAATTTGACGATCAAAGGAAGGTGTACTCCACATACTCAAATAATGACCAAAGAAGAACTTAGGTCGTGGACCAGGAATATTTCGTCGTGCAAAATATTCATAATGTGATTTTAAAGTCCAAACATAGTAAAAGAAAACGCTAATCAAAGCTCCAAACAATATAACCGTAATAACCATGCTTTTGTATTGTTCTAAGCACACTCAGGTAATAATAAGTTAAAAGAAAGACTATATGCTTTTGCTTGCCACCTACAAACACTTAGATAAATATACAGAGTGTTCTATAAACAACACCCCGATAAGAAATTTAGATATCTCCGCCAGATGTCGACCAAACGAGCTGAAATTTTTCTCAGTGATAGAGGCATAGTCAAAGTTTATATTCATAAAGATATGTCTAGAGAGATCCTTTTCTTAAGTATCATTATTGACCTCAACACAAAAATTTTACTTTTTCATAGATAGGAAAAGAAACAATATACTTAACAAAGAATTTCTCTAGACACGTCGTTATGAAAATAAAGCTTGGACATGTCTCTATCATCGATAAAAAATCCAGCTCGTTTGCTCGAGCTGTAATGGAGATATTCAAGTTTTTTATTCGACAAAGTGACTTTTGCGCTACTCTGTATATTGTTTTTTTTTCTATCTGTAAAAAAAGTAAAATTTTTGTATTAAGGTCAATAGGGATACTTAAGAAAAGGGTCTCTCTAGGCATGTCTTTATGAATATAAACTTTGACTATGCCTCTATCACTGATAAAAGATTCAGCTCGTTTGGTCGACATCTGGCGGAGATATCTAAATTTCTTATCGGGGCGTTATTTATGGGACACCCTGTATATCTATACAAAATAAATATGCTTTTTTCTTCTTTTCTCTGCGTATCACATTATATGTAAGGCGTTATATATAGGGACCAACAGTGTACTTTCGTACTTAAAGTACATTAAAGTACGAAGATATTGTTCGTTTCAAAATATAGTGTGCTCCACTGTTTTTTGAATAGCTCAAGAACGCAAATAGCTGGGTGTGGGCGCAGGTGTGGGTATGAATGTGGGTGTGAATCTTCTCTTCACACCCGCACCACACACTCCACATTCACACCCACACCCACCCTCAACTTTTCATTGATTCTAACAGATGGTGCATTGCTACGAGATTAATTCATATTTCATCTGTTATCAACAACAGGTGATGGATTCGTAAGGTCTGAGCATACCAAACCTTACACTCTTTCAAACTTTGTAGACTAATAAAGGCTCAGCATTCGCATCTCATTCCACTAGATCGACACATTTGTGTAGTGCCTCAAAATTTTTCTATCAACATCAAATTTTTCGCGATCATCTGCGACAACTAATAACATTTTCGGGAAGAAAATTGGGTTTCGTATATATGGTTATACAGCATGATCACGTTATTTTTGACAGTTTTGTTCAGTTTGCTGTATTTATACAAAACCTCGGATATTTCTTATTTTGATATAGTTGGATAGAGCATCACTTACTGTATCAAACTATATAGTTTTTATTTTATTTATTTTACACCCACACACACCCCACCCTTTAATATGTATTTGGACTTTAATATGATCACTCAAACAAAATCCATAAATCAAGCATTAAGCATTGTTATTTCATTATATGTTATATTCAAATTACAATTTGGTACGCACAACCGAATTATTCATTTATTGTATGAAATATTGCTGCAAGAGCCAAGCATTCTTTCGAAACAATTACGACTTACATTAAAACAATGGGATTTTCATATTGATAAAAAAGAACATACAAGAAGTATGTAACTTGTTACAACTGCTTCAACAAATAATAATACACAAACAAGCACAATAAACATTTTAAAAGAAACTGAAGGTAGTCATGGCCATCAATCATTTGATAAACAATTACCAAGAGAATTTTATCGGAAACACAGGTGCGTAATGTGTGATGGATAAGAAATATTTTTAATCATGCATACTTATATTACATAGATGATACACAAAATCCAACAACAATCAATACACATTCAACTTCCTACAAGAACATGTAAAAATGTACATCACAAACATCACCATCATCGAATTCATCATCACCTATTTATCCACCATTAATTGTAGATATTGCAATACCAGAGAAACAAAAAGAACCGTTCTTATCTGAATCAATTATGATTAAAAATGATGAATGCATGTTGAACGTTATTGAGTCAAACTTATCGAAATCAAGTCATTTATCTACAACGAATAAGAAAAAATCTAGTTCTAAGTTAAGAAAACGTCAAGCTAGTCCAGAACAACCAATAGCAAAACGATTAAAACGATCAAGAAATTAAAAAAAGACAATATGAACATTTTGTATTCTCAGTGATTATTTACGATATCTGCAAATTTTTTCTAACTGATCGAATGTACAGGGTATCCCAAACGTCGTGATCACTTCAGAAATTAAGATATGTCCATTGTTAATTGAAGCCAAATCAAATATATTTTTTTAATTTGATGATGGAGAATAGTAAGTTTTTTTTTTCATACGCATAAAGTTCATAAATACTCTTGAAAGTGTCTTGTTTCTTGTGGTGAAAGAAAAAGTTAGCATATTCATGATATAAGAGACCAATAGATAGTATTTTTCCTGTATTTGTTCCTGTTTTCATCGTGATTATCAACTTTAAGTAATTATAATCTCTTGCGAATCCATTATTAAGATTCGTTCTGATCTATACTTATAGAAAGAATGTGGGTGTGGGTGTGGGGTGTGAGTACTCACTTCTCTTTATCCATACTCACACCCACATCCACACCCACACTCACTCACACCCAGATCATATTGCATTTCATATAAAGGGTATCCCAGAAATTCTGAAGTAATTTTAAAATGCATCGTTCTCACGTTTAACAAAAGCAAACTCTTTGAAACTTTGTTTGATTATTGGAGGTATTTAGTACTACATTACTACAAAGTTTCAGCTCTATAGCTTGTATTATGGATGAAAGCCAGTGACAACACTATCATGTACTATTTTTTCGATTTTCCAATAGATAAACTCGATGCAGAAAGGAAAACATGTTATTTCAACCCTTTCGATTAGTGCATGATAGAACATTAAAATGTTTATTTTATGAACATATTTTTGTTTCTGCACGTGCCAATAACAAGACTATATAAAGGTCAACATGAGTGCATAACTAATGAATCAACGAAAAATGCCACATCAACCACCTCGTAAAGACAAAAAGGAATTCCGTTCTCTCGTTTTACATTTAAAAAAGTTGCATCCATCATGGAAAGCAAAAGAAATTACCAAATTTGTCCTTCAGTCCGAAAATCCACCTTATTATACAACGACGAAATCTTTATGGCTTAAAGTTTGGAGAATTTTAAGGAGAAACAAAGTAAATGATTTACCAAGACCAGGTGCACCTCGTACAACAACAACAAATCAATATATTCGAGCAGCGAAAGAAGCTATTCAATTAAAAGCAAATGCATCCGTTAGGAATGTCAATGCGAAACTTCAACAACAAGGTTTTAAAACATCAAAGAGTTCGGTTTGGAGAGCCAAAAATGAATCAAAATTGAAGTAGTGAAAGAAACAAAAGGTACAGAAACTAACAGTTGATCAGAAAATCCAACATGTTATCGTTGCGAAACGACTAAAAAAGAATTATGGAACTAAGAAAGGAGGTAAATTATATAAATGGAATAATATTTTAAACACGGACTTTAGTGGTACATTTACATTAACTCCACATTATAATCAACATAATGAAAGTATTTATGCCAAATCATCTGATGATATTCCATACAATCTAAAAGTCAAATCAAAAGAAAAATTTCAAAAGAGTGTGATGCTGTGGGATGGGATTTCGTACCAAGGATTATTTCCAAAGGAATCTCCCATTTTTCTTGATGAATGGTTAGAGTCGATTCGATCAAAAGGTGATGATCATCATAAGAAAATGTATTTTACTGGCGAAAGATATGCAAAATTTATTCGAACTATTGTAGCAGAAAAAGCAGCTGAAGAATTCAGTGATTTACGAAATGTTATTTTTCAAGATGATCAAGATCGTAAACAAAGGATGCAGGTGTCTTTAGATGCCGTTAAACATGTTTTTACTAATCGAATTGGACCCAGAAATTGTGCTACGAAATTATCCGACGTTTGGGGTGCCTTAAAAGAAAAATTACGAGGACGCGAATACAATGATATTGAACAATTAAAAAATGATATTAAAAAGGAATGGAACAAATTTAGTGTTTTATTATGTCAGAAAATGATGGATAACATACCAGCACGATTAAAATCTGTGATCGATCAAGGTGGTAATCAATTGCGAGGACATTAGCAACTATTATTGTGTGTTTCTTTTTATTTATATTAATTGTATATTTTAAAATAATAACCAAGATATTCAGGAAAATCGAAAAAATAGTACATGCTAGTGTTGTCACTGGCTTCCATCCATAATACAAGCTATAGAGCTGAAACTTTGTAGTAATGTAGTACTAAATACCTCCAATAATCAATCAAAGTTTCAAAGAGTTTGCTTTTGTTAAAAGTGAGAACGGTGCATTTTAAAATTACTTCAGAAGTTCTGGGACACCCTTTATTTATGTTCACTAGATTTTTTGTTATAACAGACTGTTACTGAGCGCCATCTATTTCGCTGCTCTCGCTCTGTATTAAAGACAGAATTGATTTGAATGTAATGGTGATTTTCATATAAGTTTGCCAAAGCGTATGTACCATTTCAACTGCTTCATCATCCTCAAACAGATTTGTTGATGAAGAATTTCAGTTCATCCAATCGACAACTATAAAAATTGCGTAATTATCTTTTATTTTTCGAATCATTAATCTAAACAACACTTGAAAAGAAACATAAATAATCATGACTGTATACGAGATATCTGGTCAACCACATTTGGCCAAACAATCTCTAGCTGAAATGGTTGTTAGATAGATATAAAATAACTGGAAAATTCTTCCATTTTCTTCTCTAGGATCCTAATCAATTATCACCATTAACACCTGAAGTGATTAGTCGACAAGCAACCATTAATATTGGTATAATTGGTCATGTCGCACATGGTAAATCAACAGTTGTTAAATGTTTATCTGGTGCTGCAACAGGTCGATTTAAAAGTGAAAAAGATCGAAATATGACAATTAAATTAGGTTATGCCAACGCCAAAGTATTTTGTTTTTTTTTAAATAATATATTTTATTTATATAATCACCAAATAGATATTCGAATGTGACAATGATAAATGTCCTCGACCCAGACGTTTTCGTTCAGCTGGTCCAAGTAAAGAAGATGTATTTCCATGTGATCGACCAAGATGTGGCGGTCAATTTCGTCTTGTTCGACATGTTTCATTTGTGGATTGTCCTGGTCAGAATTCTCTTATGGCAACTATGTTAAACGGTACCGCTGTTATGGATGCTGCTCTTTTACTTATCGGTAAAATAAATCTTCATTTATTTTTATTATATATAAAACCAAAAAATCTTTTCTCTAGCTGCTAACGACACTTGCCCACAACCACAAACATCTGAACATTTAGCAGCTATAAGTATAATGAATTTAAATTCAATATTGGTCTTACAAAATAAAATTGATCTTGTTAAAGAAGTTCAAGCAAAAGAACAATATCAACAAATTATTGATTTTCTTAAAGGTTGAAAACTTCTTTATTTGTATTTGTCTCTTCTGAATATAAAGAAATTTTCTAGGCACAAATGCTGAAGGTGCTCCAATTATACAGATAAGTGCAATACTTAAATATAATATTGAAGTTATTTGCGAATATGTTATAAGAAAAATTCCTGTACCACTACGTGATTTTACATCAAAACCGAGATTGATTGGTAAGAAAGAAAAGATTTTTATATTAAGTCCTCAAAACATAATCCACAGACTATTAAGCTGAAATTTTATTTACATAATGTGTACGTATACACTTTCTCTTCATAAAAATAGTGGATCGAAATGTACAAAAATGAAGTTTATCGTATAATAGTAAATGCTGGTTTTTTGAATAGGTAAAGATGACATATTGATAATGGTAAATGATGAGGGACATAACTGAGTATTCGTATGCGTGAACGAATTTCAGAAGCAGGAGAGAGAACACAGGACCGTTCCCTGTGAATCACAATAGTTTCAACATATATTTTATTGTCTGATATAAGATGATCAAGAAAGCAGATAATAGTAACAGGCACGGCAGTAAATCCTGCATTCGATTCTTATAAAATCAGAATAAGTTTTCATTTACCATTTTTCTCTTACAAATACTCCGAACAATATGCAAAACAAAGTGTTCATGAGAACAGATGTTTCGCACATTTTATCTCTGCTCGATACATTTGCTGACACAAGCACTGATGGATTGTTACTCAGAGAAAAAAGTTATAGTCTCATATCTCTTTATCTGTTGGAGTTACTTAGAACAGTCCAAAAGTAGTGGCGCAGGTATTGCAATTCCTTATAATAGCTTCAAGAAACTTTCTTTCTATATAGTCTGATAGAAAAAAGAATGCTCTATTTTTCTATGCTACTTGATCATACTTCAATTAATATCATAATAATAAAATTTCGATAAGATCTGTCTTCTTCGTGTATGTCGCGGTACCATCAACGCTCATTTTAAAAAAAGGTGGATGAGTATTTTTTTTTGAATAACTTTTGATAGGAACAAAATAGAGAACTACGATCTTTCCCCGTTAGATAGAGGAGATGAAGACGCATCGAATCGTATATTACAAAATTTCCTGATCTAGTTTTTGTAAGCTTTTCAATTAACCTTTTTAGAAATAAATTAATGTGGTAAATTGTTTACAGTGAATTTACAATTATCAAGTATAGATTCAAGCCAATAATCGAAGATCTACAAACTACTGAAGAGTGAGATGAATACTATGTATTCTAGTCGAGCCTCTAATACGACTTTGTAGCAGTTTCTGTGAAAAAAACTCTCTTTTGTAGTTTTTCTTGTTTCATAAAAAAGCATTTTTTCGACAGTTAGAAAGTTGAATAAAAATACTTCAGAAACGAATATTAGAAAAATCTGTAATATATAGATCGATGCATCTTCATCTCCTCTTTCCAGCGGTGAAAACTGCAGTACCCGATCTGATTTCTATCAAAACTTATTTAAAAAAATACTCACCAGCATTCCTGGTACCGTGATACATGCGGAGAAAACAGATCTTATCGAAATTTTATTATTATGATGTTAATTGAAATATGATCAAATAGAGCAGTCTTTTCTCTATCAGACTATATAGAAAGAAAGTTTCTTAAAGCTTATCATAAGGAATTACAATATCTGAGCCACTACTTTTGAACTGTCCTAAGTATAATTATGGTACTTACATTGGGTCTCCCCGATCTTCTATAGCATCCAGACACCACGACTGAAAAGACTTACGAAATACATGAAGGTCTAAACATAAGCTTTCACAAAAATATTTGACTTTATATCATATTGTAATAGAATGCCGTTAAAGATACATCGTAGAACTTACGTTTTGAGAAAAACGTGACAGAAATTTTTGTATAGCAATAAAATACAAACTGGTATACCTACAGACATATGATACATTAGTTGACAGTGCTGATAAAATTTAGTGGCTACTGCGATTTTTAAAAAAAAAATTGTTAGAAACAAACTCATTTACATAGAGTATTTGATCTGAATACTATTAATTATCGAAGAAGAGATCTCAGAGTCATATTGATACTTAATGTACACACTTCAAAGTATTTGATTATGCATTTATCTTAAATTACGTTCTCTTAATGAAACTCGACATTTTTGAAGAGGAGTGAGACCTGAAATAACATTTGATTTCTTGTAGTTATTCGATCATTTGATATTAATAAACCCGGTACCAAAGTTGATGATCTGAAAGGTGGTGTAGCCGGTGGTAGTATTGTTAAAGGCATTTTGAAAGTAAGAAGTTTTTTTTCTCGAATTTCAGTTGATAAAAAAAAAGAGTGATAATAGATTGATCAAGAAATTGAAGTACGTCCTGGTATTGTATCAAAAGATAATGAAGGTCGTCTTCAATGTTGTCCACTTCTTTCAAAAATTGTTTCACTCTATGCAGAACAGAACGATTTGGCTTTTGCTGTACCTGGTGGGCTTATTGGCGTTGGAACAAAAATTGATCCGACTTTATGTCGAGCTGATCGTCTTGTTGGTCAGGTACTTGGTGAAGTCGGTGCATTACCAGAGATTTATACTAAAATTCAAATAATTTATTTCCTTCTTAGACGTTTGGTTGGTGTACGAACTGAAGGTGATAAAAAGGGTGCCAAGGTTCGTTGATTTGAATTCTTACTGAAAATTAGATTTTGATTTGTTTTCTTTTTAAGGTTGCTAAATTAACTAAAAATGAAATGTTAATGGTTAATATTGGTTCATTATGTACCGGTGGTCGAGTATTAGCTATAAAAGATAATTTAGCTAAAATTCAATTAACAAGTCCAGCTTGTGTTGAAGTATCTGAAAAGATTGCTTTAAGTCGTCGTGTTAATTATGATTTTCGTTTGATTGGTTGGGGAGAATTTCGACGAGGAACAGTGATTAAACCACAGGTGGAAATACCTACAACATGAACGATTACTAACAATTAAAAAAAAGCAACATTCATTATTATTGTTCGTCTTTCGAATGGTTGTAGGCAATGGAATGTATAACATTACGTTTTTTTAAACAAATAAAACAGAGATTTGGCTCGAGAACATTGTTATATAAACAAGAGTTCATGTTGATTTTAAAGTATTACAATCTTGTCAAAGATATACAGAAATGTAACGATGACGATCAATAAACGGATCAAAATGCTTTCGTCTTTTTTAGACATTTCCCAAGTTACTGAAGATTCTGTTTGAGGCTCATTTGAAAGAGATTTTTTCACTCTACCAAGCCACATTTATTTTATGTTGTTGCACCGTTGATAAGTAAAACAAAAATCATAACAAACGAATAGCCTACTGTGATCATATATGTACTGTACATTTTGATTGAATGTGTGACAATTCGTCAAAGGTAGCTTGAATTATCGACCGGATGATTGTTAAGAGACTAAAGAGTTATAAGGAAAATGTTTCTTTTCCGATTAACAAGCAGCAGACTCATATAGAGTGCCCTGTAAGTCATGAAACAGACACAAAAATGATTCAATATCTCCGCCATATTTTGACCAAATTGGTTGATATTTTTATCACTGATAGAGAAGTGTTCATAGCTCATATTCATAAGAGAAGCATTGACAGAAATTGTTTTAAAGTATCACAACTGACTTCAACAAAGAACTATAACTTTTTACTGATTATGAAAAAAAACAATATTGCACTTTTCTCAACAAATTCATGCTGTTTATGGTTGAAACTTTCAGCGTACACAGAGTAACAAGACATGTATCTATGATATAAATATGAAACTAAACGACATTAGTGTAGAGAAGTAATCGAACAAATTAGATGTATCGTTTGTTCTTTTCTAGGGAATAAATATATTGTTTTCTCATAACCAGTGAAAGGTTACAGTTCTTTGTTGAAGTCAGTTGTGATACTTTAAAACAATTTTTGTCAATGCTTCTCTTATGAATATGAGTTATGAACACTTCTCTATCAGTGATAAAAATATCAGCCAATTTGGTCAAAATATGGCGGAGATTTTAATCATTTTTGTGTCTGTTTCATGACTAACTGAACACCCTACAGTACCTACTCATATAAAGCTATTAGCCAGATTTGAACAGGCCTTGCAAAAGACATGTCTATGGTTTCTTGCTATTGGTCATTGTTTTTTTACTCTTATAGCCTGAAGGTAAGCTGAGTGGCACTAAAACGGAGAGATTATCTATACTAGAATGCGTAAAATCGCCCATGCCTAATAAAGAATAGTTAATCTTCGCATTAACTATCTAAAGTCTACTATATATGAAAAAATAGAAGTAATTTCTTCACTATACCAGGTCACTCTACTCACCCAATAGACAAAGCAGCAAAAGACAAAAAAAGAATCCTGTAATGGTCTGAGGTTCGTTTCATAAAATTCTCACATTCTGCCACTGCTGATTCTTTGAAAAACAGTGCACTCAAGAGGGACAGTTTTTTTTAGCCATGAATTCAACGAAGTAAGAGAAAAATCCTCCATCTGTTGAAAAATAACATTCTGTTCGCATCTTCACGATTGTCTAAACTGAATGATGTTATAGACGTATAGTTCTAACTTGTCAGCTCAATTTGGATTGAACAAGTGTCATGGAAAGAAAATGGTAACTAACCTGTGAGACATGGATTAGTTTTTAATGCCTGAAGATCTGTGTCACTCATATTTTTCCGTTGTTGAAATAAATCTTGAATAAAACTTTCCAGTGTTTGGCCATTATCGGTTGAATTAGTCCATCGACTACTTACATGATATGTCATTGTTAGCACATGAATTGTTCTACATCCGATCGATTCGAGAAGTTCAACTGATACAGAATATTTCGTAGATTCTTCTGTATCACTTTCGGGCATTCGTGGATGATACAGTGTAATAATGGATAAATTAGCATATAAATTCGATGAACGGATACAGGATTCTGTATATGCTTTCATTTCTTGACTTGTTGGAATACATTTCAGTTTGGATAGAATGCTTTTGATTTTTTTTGATTCACTTTCATTGAATTGAGCCCAAGGTTGCGAAATAAAGCTCAGAAGAATTCTCGATGTCGTTTCATTCTCAAACAGATGTTGTTGATCACCCAGAAGATACAAGTCGATTAAAATTATCACAGATAAGCCTGATAATGATAATCGTCTTTGCAAATCTTCTCGCGATATATGACTCACAACATTAGATGGTAAGATATTGGATGGAAGCGAAAGAGACGAGATATTTAAAGTATCATAAAATTTAATTTTTTTCTAATTGAATAATAGATGATTGATAGGATTCACGATAGTATATGTCCGAAAGAATTTCTTTGATATAAGATCTATTAGTAACATCACTTGTACATAACCAACGAAGTAATCCAATGAATTCATCAAACAAGAGAATGGATTCATGAATTTTCGCTGAGATTGTTTCATGATCAACTTCTCGAGTCTCTTGATGACGTTTTAGCATTTAAAAATACTCATCTTGTCTAATATCGAATGAAACGAGCAGTACAGGAAGAAATGTTCAAATATGCTTCGAAGTACTGAGAAATGCTTAGCTTAATGGAATCAATACAAGATAATTGTCAGATGGAGATCGTCAGATAGGAATAAGGATATTTTTATCCAATGAGAAAAATCCATGGAGAAGAATACAACCTACACAAAACACAAAAAATTAGTTGAAGACATCGAAATTGATATTAATATACAAACCATCATCTTTATTTGGTGCTGATGCTTGAAAAGCATAAGAAGAAAGAATAGCATTAAGATATTGAACGGTATGTTGTGAATTATTATTCACAGTATTGAGCATTATTTGGGTGTGGATGTAGATAATTAGCGGAGACACCAAGTCGCGCCCAAACCCACACCCGTACCAAAATTAATTGATTGTAATTATGAAAGATTAAACAATAGCCCAAAATCATCTGAAAAATTATAGATTATGACGGAAACTATCGAAAGTATTCCACTTAGTGAATATATTACTCAAACTGACGAGGGAAGTATCCCAACTCTTTAAAAGCTTTTGAGTTCGGACTTTATGCATAATGCAGACCCCATTGAGATATGGAAAATCTCAAAAGGACAAGTGCCCACAGGCCTTCCCTACAAAGTTATAAGCATTTTACTGAAATTTTAGTCTATGGTACTGTATGCACTAAAGAATCGAAATGACGATATTTTGAGCTGAAATTTTGCCCACAGATAGACCTACTAGTAAATAGAATGTCCTGGAAATCTCAGGTCAAAAGAATGTTCCTTTCACAAGATATTGAATTCCCAAAAATCTCTCATATTCCATGAAAGATTCCAGAATCTCATGCTTTTTTGGAGGATTAAATATCTCGCGAAAGGAACATTCTTTTGACCTGAAATTTCCAGGACATTCTATTTACTAGTAGGTCTATTTGTGGGCAAAATTTCAGCTCAAAATATCGTCATTTCGATTCTTTAGTGCATACAATACCATAGACTAAAATTTCAGTAAAATGCTTATAACTTTGTAGGGAAGGCCTGTGGGCACTTGTCCATTTGAGGTTTTCCATATCTCATTGGGGTCTGCATTATGCATAAAGTCCGAATTCAAAAGCTTTTAAACAGTTGGGGTACTTCCCTCGTGAATGTAAATTTCCAGAAATTATTAAAGTTATTTCATTATTAATCAATTTGATAAAAGAAGTTCACGAAAAAAATTTTGTTCATCGAAATCTAACCCCTAGAACTATTTTTATTCATCATTCATATTCAATCGAAGGCGATCAGATTCAATTGAAATTAATCGATTTTGATTATGCTCATATTGATGAGAAGAAGATCAAGAATCATAATATCTGGTCTCAAAATGATAATCCATTAAATAATGATATTGATCATGAAATTCAACAAATCGATTTCGAACGACAGAGTAAAAACATTGATGCGACTTTCATCTGTACTATTCTCTTCTGGATGATTACATTGCATCAACCAAAAGATTCACGAAATCAAGATGGAAAAGCACCACAAGAATTGAATGAACATATCCAATCGATTCAATATGAGCTAAAAGAAATAGCTGGTAAAAAACCAATTTCACTGTTATTCATCATCATAAGTCTAACTAATCGATTCAATTTTAGGTCAAAATTTAAGTAAATTCGATTCATTATGGAGACATCTTACATATATATTTGATCGTGGATTTGCAAAACTTCAACTACAATGGTCAATAAATGAACTTGACTATCAAATTCTATTGATAATCGAACTAATAACAAATATGAAAAGTTATGATAACAGTCTTCAAGAATCACTAATGATTTCAATGGTACCAAGTGAACAACCATTCATTCGTGTTGCATCCTTGATCAATACAATCAAATATCATTTTGTCAATTGTTGCATTCATTTTGATTCCATTCATTGATCATTAAATGAAAACAATCGATGGTCAGGTAATAATCAAATAATCTATAATGATGATATTCTCACTGTTAGCAAATATGAATTGCCAATAAAATTTAAAATTATTCGATTTGAAAATGAAAACAAGCTTAAAATATTCGTTCAAATCCCAATCGATCAGACAGATACGATCGAATTACCATTTGGTTCTTGGCAAGAAAATGAAATTGAAAATCAATATGAAGCTATTACGAACATATCCATCATGGAGTTCATGAATTTTTATAATATGTTTATAGAATAAAATATCTATCAACTAATGAGAGATATAAGATTGGCATCGGTAGATGTTCTACCGGCAGTTTTATAATAGTTTAAATGTGAACCTTTTGAAAACAAAAGGGAAACCATTACACCAACCAAATATCCTCAATTGTTTTCTTTTTACCATGCAGTTTCTATTAGAGATGGGACCAGTTCGGTTCTGTTTTGTTTGAAAAAAAATATAAATCGGTTCTATCTCAATATAATACTCCGATATATTTGTTAACTTGTGCATTATAGTGGAGGAAAAGTTTAGCATACGTTTTATTTTCTAGATTCTTCCTTAAAGATCAGTGCGTTTTGAAAAGCACGATTTCTTTTTTCAAATGACTGATCATCACTATTTGAGCAACATTTTACGAAAATGTTATAGAGTCTTAAGTTTTACGAAGTAATTTAGCTCATAATTTTCACCCATTTTTTTGTGACTTTGCAGTTCATAATTTGAAAGTGTTCTAAAATTTGAAAAGAGTAATGTACTGGGAGCTGGAACATATCTTTTGAAAGAAGTCTTAGATTTCAAAACAAATTGATTGTTTAGATTTAAAGTTGGGTGTGGAAATGGTTGTGAGACGTGGCTAGGCGTGATTACTCTAATTATTCACACCCACACCCATATCCTACACCTACATCCTACACCCAAACCCGCGCCTACAGCCACTCCTAAATTCACACCCCACACCCTGAAGTTTTTGAACATTTTTTGAGATTATCCAAGTAGTTTTTTGAATTTTTTATTTCAAATAGATGGCTTAAAATATTTTTGAAATATGCAGTTTTGTACAGCTCGACGAGCTCTATCGAACCATGTAAAAACATTCAAGAAGAATGTTTTATTTCATTTTTGAACTACTGCCACCTTATTTTTCTACACCAAAAAAGTATCAAACTTCTGAAAATCTTTTTAATTCGACATTAAAAGGTCTTCATAACCTTTACCATTTAGTACCAATAAATTGAGTTTTTGATGCGCTTTAATTTGGTATAAAATACATTTGTGATATCATTAATACTTTAAGTTGTGGAGGGGAAGGCAAAAGTTATGTAACACCCTGTAGATAAGGCAATAATTGTAAGACAACCTACTTTCATTCTTCATTAGTCTGTCCAAATGGTTTTCTTGAATGATATAACTCATCAGAATTTTGTTGTTTTTTTCGTTCGTTCTATTTCTCTTCGTTTCTTGTGACAGAACTTCGAAATGCAACGAAGAGCAAAAATGAAAGTGCAACATTTGTTGACGTTCGACAGCCTATATCAAAAGAGATTCGTAGCAAATGTGCTGTTTAATATTCAATAGAAAAACACTAGGTGATATGTTTTTTTTTCTTCGATCGATTTGCGTATGAATAGTTGAATGGTAAACGCATCAGAACAATGCATAAAATATGGCGTGGAAAGTCAAACTATCCTGTAAAGATTGTGATACAAGAAAAACTTGTATATCTATATTGAAAAATGAAGTAACATGGGGAATTGTCGTTATTATTTGTTGTGCTATATCATTATTAATTATCTGGTTGGTAAATCATCCTGTTGAATGGCAAAAATATAAAGATCCTGTTCATGAACAAAGTCTTCTCGCTATTATTGGTGGCATATTTGCTCTCGTGGCTACGGGCATGTCATTTGTACAAATTCTTCAACATTTTCGATATAAAACACATCATCAATCACAAAAACGTATTATGCGTATTTTAACTTTGGTACCACTCTATGCTATTACATCATGGATTTCAATATTGTTTTGTATTTCTGCTATTTATATGGATTTTATTAAATCTTGTTTTGAAGCTTATATTATCTATAATTTTCTACTTTTATTAACAAAATATCTCGGTGGTCATCGTGGTGTTGAACAAGTAATTATAGCACAAGAAAAAATTCACTTACCATTTCCATTTTGTTGTCTTAAACTACGACCACATATTAAATGGGTTTGGTATTTTAAATTTGGTCTTTTACAATATACATGGATCAATCCAATATGTTCAGCTATTGCTGTTGTTCTTAATCTTGCTGATATTTATGATAATGGTAAATGGAATTTTAAACATAGTTATCCATATATTATTATTATAATTAATATCAGTCAAACATTAGCTTTGTATAGTCTTGTAGCATTCTATGATAATACGAAAGAACCATTGAAACCATTTAAACCATTAGCAAAATTTATTGTGATTAAATTAATTGTTTTCTTTATTTTTTGGCAAAGTGTTTTCATGAGTGGA